AATGATTTCGTAATGAATTACTGGTTTAAGCGATTCTATATATATATATACACACACCACACATTATGTAAAGTTAACATCATAATTATAAAATCTTGCTTTAACTGAATTACAGGTAGCCATACGTACAAATGACAGAAAAGCATTTAAATATATATATATATATATATATATGAATTTCGCTTGAAGCAACAGTAACCAAAGGATGGCTTGAATATAAATAATTTCCAGATTCATTTACTTTTCTCTTCTTTCTGAGTCCACTTTTTCCAGCTTTGCAGAATTTTACATGACTGCTTCTATGGTTGTATCCTTTCCAAAACCAGAAGAACCGGAATTGTAAAATCAAGAAAAGGGAAATAACATTTCTTGTAAGCTATTCAGGGTTAAAGAGGACAGAATGGGCTGTATTTTGCACTATAGGCAGGGAAGTCCAAGTAAAATTAATTTGCCCATTTTGGCAACTAATAAGGTAGGTGCAAAAGGAAACCATGTGCACAGGGCCTTTCATATCTATAACAGTTATCATTCCTTTACAGAAATAAAATACAACAAAGCAAAGAAGGAGTTAAAAGACAACAGTAATTATGGCCAAAACAGGCTGCAGATTCATGCAGGATAAAAGTTGTGCAGAGCTATCTCCTTGTGTTAAGTAAAATTCTTGCATTAAATAACACAAAATACACATATTAAGGTGAGATTATCAGTTTAGTGCGGTATTTAGCAGCGATTAAGGATCAAACTATTACAACCATTTTGTAAGTTAATTAATTGGCATGAGAGATGATTCAGTTCTTTTAAAGCAAGCCCACATTTTCTAGCACTGAAAAGATGATGATTAAGAGTAGTGAGAAGCACAGAGCAGACAATAAGATTTGAACTGAAAGTATTTGAAGTCTTTTTTTTTTTTTCTTTTACACACTTAACCAAAGCTTAAAGTTTACTGAGATACAATTATTCCCGCTGAATCGTAACTCTTGTTGGTTTGTTAGATCACAGATAAGTTTTGAACCTTGGATTATAAATTGAGCCCATAGAAAAAGCGTAAAATTAATTCAGATGGG